CTCCGAGTGTAAACAGGTATTTACGTGGCTCTTGCTGACACTCGTAGTTCAAACGTATCTTTTTTAACGTCGGCTCGCTCCTGCATCTCCGAGGCCGCGAAAAACGCCATCTACGTCGCTTTGCAAACGACTGACACTGGCCGGCCCTTCTGCCAACAATGACAGGGTGGTTGACTTCTGGAGTCTTCACCGGAAGACTCGCTGCACTTCCCAACAGGCATGCCGGCGTATGGGACTAGTCCCATGCTGTCGCTGTAGCGCCACATATCTCATTGAATTTCGCTCAGCTGCGATGCGGCGATGAGAGGCGCCGATTCAGGAAATACGTCGGTGACATCAGCGCAGTAAAACCTACCGGCGCACCCCAACTCGTTGCCGCTAACACTCCCATTCTCCTATTGCCGAGAGAACTTCCGGTTCCGGAAACGGTTTACGTCACGGCTTGTTTTGCGGTCAGTTGGAGAGAATGAAAAAGTCGATATTTCAATAATTTTTTGTGTAGAAGTTAATAAACCGAGACGAAAACGGATGCCTGTTCGGCATTCAGTGAACATTGACGGTTTAATGTAAAAGTTATCTGGAAAAAGTAAAAAGGTCATTTCATGGTCCCTTTAACATTGGCTCAATATAAGATAACATTGTAGAGGCAAAAAGATACAAACGAAAAAGAAGACATAGAACACAACCTTTCTTTTTTTTTTTCGTTCGTGTCCTTTTGCGTTTTTCATTAATTTTAGTCATGAACCAACTACCTAATCTAAAGTTTTAGTTAGCGCTATTTTATCTTTGCTTCAATCACCTTATCCTAATTACAAAATCTATTATTGAATTTGCTGCCGTTATTTATCACGTTTAATTATATTGCCTTAGGTGTCTCCTAATTTTTAGGTTAAGGAAGGAAACCCTGTTTTAAGCATCGCAAAAATAAGCTGGATATCGCGGTCAGCACCAACCCCGCCAGTATATAACTCCAGCGGCTGGAGCAATTAACCCAATTTTTCGGAACATAGCCTAGTCTGATTCATATCAGGCAATGCTTAGAAATTTTCAATGCTGAAATGGTGGACAGCAGAGCCCGCGAGTACATGAAGATGAATAGCGTCCGTCACCGGAAACGGGCCCCAATTCTTAATTAAAAAAAAAAAATCACCCCCCCCCCCCCCCCCCCACCTTTTAACCAGAGCACAAATCTAAAATTAGACATTTTCTTCTAACCGCTAGGGTTCCATTTTAGCGGACTTTCAGCGTCCGCAACATATATAAGTTTTTTTCTTTTCTTTTTTTGCGATTAGAAATTTTTTTTTTTCCAAAAAAAGTTTGTCAGATTTCTTCAAGTCATCACACTACTACCGCTTTAGCGAAAACCCGGGGTGCGTGTAAGTATTAGGAATTCTAAAGACGTCCGTCTCAGCATTATGTAGTGCTGAGAAGAGTCAAAATGTCCAACGAGACGAAATGTCCAATCGGGTCAAAATGTCCAAAGAGTCAAAATGTCCAACGAGACGAAATGTCCAAGCAGGTCAAAATGTCCGACGAGACGAAATGTCTACCGAGACGAAATGTTCGATATTGGACATTCTGACCCGTTGGACATTTCGTCTCGTTGGACATTTTGACCTGCTTGGACATTTCGTCTCGTTGGACATTTTGACTCTTTGGACATTTTGACCCGATTGGACATTTCGGAATTTAGTCGGTTAGTTCGGAAGTCAGAATTTAGTAAAACTTCATTGTCACCATAATGCCGAGCTCCACCACTTTCCACCACTTGTGACTCAGACAAAAGATGCCGAGTCATTGAGCTGAGGGCAAACGCGCGACATCTGATACTACACAAGTAAGCTATACTTCGTCTCAGGCTAAAGAAAAAATGAAGCGGTTTCGTATTTGAGAAAAAAGAAACGCTTTAATCGTCTTCATTTGGCTCCCGATTCACGAATATCCAAATAATATTTCCGATTACTGCGCCAAGTAGCTACAACAGCACATTCAAAACAGCGCCGAAGCCCCCGCTTCCCGGTAAATTCGGTAGGAGGAGGAAATCGTGACGGTATTCATAGGAAATTTTAAGATTTCCACGGCTTCCCTAAGTCTCGCAGGAGCAGTCAAATGCGCTGCGCACGTTCCCTCACAAGCGTCACGCGCAAGGCAGTTGAAACAACACCGCGTAAAAGACGAGGCCGTAGTGCTGACATTTTGGCGTCACCGGCGAAGGATAACGCTGGACACAGATTGGAAACGAGTGCTGCGTCAACGCTCAGCTTCGAGCCCAGTCTGAGCAGAACACTGACACAATCGTCGAGTCCAACCTGTGCCTAGCGTTGGACTTCGCTGATGACGACATCTCATTCAGAACTTTTATCTAGGAGGTTTTGATTGAAACCTCTCGGTATGACGTCACACCCGTGACGTCATACCACATCTATTGGTACGTTCGGGCCAGATGATATTGATATGCAAACTCGCATGATAGAAATACGCGAGAATTCCCATCCAACTCGTTTCTTCCAAGAGTTGGATGGGAATTCTTTCATTGGAGCGCGCCAAAGCTACGCTCCAATGAAACCAATAAAGCAGCGTTAAGAGCACAAGCCACTAAGCCTTTTCTGTTTATGATTGGTTCAGCGATGATAGAACACGTACAGAAACACGACGAACACTATGATGGTGCCGTTTTGACTTTGTCTGATTGGTAGTCCTATGAGCTGGTAGAATCGGCTGCGTCTGCAATTAAAACCAAGAATACCGCGCACGTTTAGAACGCGTTTCACAGCCTGCAGTGGTCCAAAATAGCGGTGCGCAGAAACTGATTATCGAAGTGGTCGATGTATTTGAACGTTACAAATACTAGAAAAAGTAACAAAAGTTAACAAATTTGAATTCTTTTTGAGGAAAGAACAGTCGACGAAAAGTGTAAGCTCTATAAAAATAAGCTAACCCACCTAAATGAGCATTTCATTCCACTGACCCATATCATATCTGATAACTGCCAGCTATGTATAATACAACAGTCCATAATCGTGCTAAAAAAAACGACTTGATAAACGAGCGAAGTCGGTCGACGATTAAATCTTGTGGAATGCAGATCATGAGAAACAAAACAACCATTACTGCTCGATGCTCAAAAAACTGTCATACTCATGACCTCCCCAAAATGTTAACAAACAAACCCAAAACGTTCAGTAAAGTGGTCAGCCCAGCTCTGTCATTACCTTTGCAGTTCATAAATGACGACGGCATTCCACTTTCAGATGAAGGTAGCGCTGTTCATCAACAATTTCTTAACACCAATCTTCACTAACGAGGACTATTAAACGTTCCCGACTCATACCCATTATCGCACCCTCATCGAATCCAATCATAATTGACCATGCAGGCCTATTGAAAGCAATAGATAACCTAAAGACATCCTCGAGCTCCGGAGGGGAACAAATTAACTCGAAGGTATTAATAAATACTAAACACATTTCCTCTGTCTTTCTCGTGACGCATGCTCACAGTCCCTCAGGCTTTCTGTAGTCACGTGTGACTGGAAAATTGCTAACCTAATCCCTGTTCACAAAACTGGTTATCGCCAACTTATAATTAATTACTGTCCGATTTCTCTCACTAGTGTTTCGTCTAAACTCTTAGAGCAGATACTTTACTCAAATAAAATCAACTTTCTGAACTCTCATATCCTTTTTTTTTTTTAACGTCAGCACGAATTTCGTTAATCTTACTCGTGTGAAACCCATACTAACTGCCTTCCTTACTGACATTTATTCAAGCTTCGAGTCGAATGTTCATACTGACGCCATTTTCATTGTCTTCTCCAAAACATTTGACCAAGTTCCTCATCAACGTCTTTTAACGAAGCTTAAAGATATTAATATTCACTCCTTTGTTGTCAAGTGGATTTCTAAATTCTCAATGAACCCTCCGTTTACAACGTCAAATCCCCCACCTATACTGTAACATCAGGCGTCCCTCAGGGAACCGTACTCGACCCCCCTCTGTTCCTAATCTACATGAAACAATCGTATGATTGTGTCATGGCAATATCGTCGCCTGTTCGCCAACGATTGTGTCATATGCGGACCGATTCTTTCATGCCGTGATCATCTAAATCTTCAGAAAGACCTTGCGTCTGAAATTCAGTGGTGTGAAAAATGACAAATTGCGCTGAACTTTTATAAATGTAGATCCGTCATTTTTCTGCGGTTCATATGTGCCCCCTCCCCCCCCCCCCCCCCTTCATATTCGTATTACATTCCTAACACTCAAGTAACAGCCTCCTCATCCTATAAATACCTGGGTGTTCTGCGCTGTAACCTCAAACTTGCTACACCCTCCGTAAAATAACTAGCGTATACTACTCTTATAATATCCAAGTTAGAATATGCCTAATCTTTATGGTCTCTATGGCAGTCATACCTCACAAATCGTCTAGACCTGTTTAAAACAGAGCCCGTCGTCTCATTTGTAATAACTACTCAATATATACCACCATTTCGAGATCGCGCCAATCAGCTAACCTTCATTCACTTTCCCTTCGCCGCCGAGTGTCACGCCTCTCTCTCCTTCATCGAATTCTCTATCACAATACCCCCCTCAGAGAAACATCACTATCACCTCCTCGCCGTATTTTCTTTTTTTAGATCGCCCATGTAAATTACGTTCAATTCTTTCATTGTATGTTTCTCACCAGACTTCCGCACAAAAACAAGTGGCTATCGCCGATTGGAACTCACAACCTCACAGCATTGTTTCTATAAATGATACTAATAAATTTGTTGAATTCATTACCCTTTTTCTCTCTAACTTAGCTAACTAGCTTACTATTTTATATCTGTGTTTACTGTACTTTTTGTTTGATAGGAAAATACTCAAGGAATTCCCCCAAGGAAAATAAATGATGCTGATGAAGAGTCAGTATTGCAGGATATTAAGATATTGTACACTCTGTAACGATTATGACAAAATGTACGACACCAAAACTCATCGAATACATATTCCAGTGTGGACAACCAAGTGTTATACAACGAAGACATCATGTCCCCGTCGCTCGAAGAATTGGCATTTCAATGGTTTAGTAGGAAGATGTGAAACGTCTACACCAAGTTTCTGTGGAGGGACAAAGAATGCATTTTCAAATTTCAAAGAATGTCAAAATAACTGCGAAAAAGGTAAGTTTGGGAGACAAATATTTATATCGAGTCTCCAACCTATACACGTCGAACGAGAAACAAAAAAATCGAGCCTTGGAAAGTGCAATAGAAAATACTGCAAACGTGTTAACGTATTCTTGGATAAAATATCAACAAAACAACTCGTGTCTTAAATTTTTATTGACTCATTTTCCATTGCTTAGTGTAGAACGCGTGATTGAATAGTAATAATAGATTTTAACTAACTGGTATCTCCTTCATGTTAGACATTTGAACTTAGGCAATAAATAACCTCAAAGGGTAATTTCAACCGAAACGATTTTGCTTAAGATAACGTCATCTACCGCGACGAACGTTAGAACACAAATTGACGCGGCAGTTACGAAACGTTTCAACTAAAAGGATATCCATTAATTTTTCAATGTTTTACTTGGCCGGCAGATTTTTATTAGATATTAGGGGGTGCACGAGAACAAAAAAGGACCACAGCACATATTAAATTTTAGAAGACGCGACGCACCGCGCTATTTATTTTCAAAGTTAAACTTTCTAAAGTCCGCCATACCGCAATCAAGAGTTAAAAACCTGCCGAAAGAACTAAAAAAAAAAAAGAAAAACGCCCACACGTTATACGTTTTTTGAGTTACCTGGGGTTATCTTGCAGCTGGTATGCCGGCTCATAACTAGGGTTTGGCGCTTTCGGTAAATAATTACCGATAGACCCCGAAAATGAACCCCCAATTCGGTTTTATCAAAATCGGGGAAAACCGATAAACCCAAAATTGGAGCTGTCCTTCAAGGAGAAAATCTCGAGCTTCACGGGAAAAACAAATTAAAGTACAGCTTTAATTCCGGTTCACCCGGAATCCATGTAGCACCCCCATGACCCGCCCTCGAGGCTGCTGTTTTCTTGGGAACCACACACATTATTTTAATTTATATTATTTTATTTTATTAGCGGTACAGGGACGTCTACCCAGTATTCGACCCACGTTTATATTTCTTGAAAGCTGGGGAATGCCATGTCCGTACACAATTATCAACATAAAACCCGATAATACCCGATTTTTTGTCGGGTACCAAATATTAACACCGAAAAGCACCGAATACGTGGGAAAAGTAAACCCCGAAAACACATTATATAATTTGATGGAAAACAAACGCCGAAAACACGAAACCTTACTCATAACTAGGGCTCCGTGTTTTCGGAGTTTATTTTTCATCAAATTCGGAGGGTGTTTTTCTGAGTTTATTTTTTGCCGAAGATTCCGAGTTTATGGGAGTTTATATTTGTTTCATTCCCAATTCTCCGAGATTCGGAGTTTATGGGAGTTTATAATTGTTTCATTCCCCATTCTCCGAGATTCGGAGTTGAATTTCGCAGTGTTTCCTTTTAAAAATGAATAAATAATAACCGGGTATGAACGTATGCTAGATTAAAAATAAAACGCACTTGTATCAATTAAAATGTCTTCAGTGGAATTTGGCGTTAGTGCCATTGCAATTGGCAATACTAATTTGTCCCACGTGAAAAGTCGCACACAGGTGTTGCTTCGATAAACGTCGATACCTTAAAATCAATAAACTCCCAAAGGTAGTCGTTAGGAAGCTCGTAGTCATCCCATCCTATACGCCGCGCACTGATCTCTATGTCTATTTGCTGGATCGCGTTTGACCAGCTCCTCCTATGGACCGGAATGCGGTCACTGGCGGCCATCTTTAGGTAGAGTTATATCATCTCTAGCCATCATAGTAATATGGCGGACAGCGCAATGGCGGCAGGCTGCCATAAAATAGCCGTAGATCTAGTACACTGTACCGTGGGTGACATTTCGTGCTTGATTGAAGTTGTTCGACGAAGCAGATTCTTGAAACCCGGCGTGAACGGTAGCCTCATCTTTGAGGACCCGGCAAAAGTTCTACGAAAGCGCAGCACCGGGGGAAAGCAGCGCAGCTCGCATCAAAAGCAGACTCCGTACCGTCGTCTGCTTTCGATGCTTTTTTCGATGCGACTTTCGATACGTGCTGTGCTGCTTTTCTCCCGGTGCTGCGATTTCGTGAAACTTTTACCAGGTCCTCAAAAACCGGACTACTGTTCACGCCGGGTTTCAAAAACATGTTTTGTCAAATAATTTTAATCAAGCACGCAATATCACTGTCACGATCGTGAACCGGAGGAGGAAAGAGAAGAAGACGAGAAGGAGACCGATGCGTGGTGTGGGAAAAAGGAGAAAAAAGAAGAGGTTTGGAACGAGCATCAAGAGGAACGAGAGAGCACTGGTCCGGTGAACAGCACGGCGACTTCGGCTACGCCCCGGAGGAAGTCCACCCGTGGCCCGCTCCCGGGAGTCCACCGTTAACCAACGGGGCGACTTCGGCTACGCTCCGGAGGAAGCCCACCCGAGGCCCGCTCCCGGGAATCTACCGAGATCAACCAACGAGGCGTCCTCCGTCAGAGCGGCAAGATGATGTTCTTCCCCAAGGAAAGAGACCTGAGAGCGCACCAGAGCCGGGACACTTCAAGGTTGTGAGTGCTAGCGGTGGAGACTTGGGTCTAGGGGACTAAGAGAATACTGTACCGTACGGTTTCTGATGCCTTTCGCTTTTGTTTATTTATGTAAATACATGTACATACGGTGAAATTTCGTAACCTGTTCGTCCGGGTCCTCTGATTTCGGTGTCCGTCTCGGTTGAACGTGACAATCACCCACGCTATTTTGACCGCAGCCTGCCAACCCACCTGCCAAAACGCTATCTGCCATGGATGGATGATAGCGGCTGCAGCAGCTTACATTGGCTAGAGGTGATATAACTCTACCTAAAGATGGCCGCCAGTGACCGCATTCGCGGAGCGGGCAAACGCGATCCAGCAATTGTCATAGAGATCAGTGACGCCGCGCAAGTGGGCTCATTTTCGTCTTCTGCGCATGAGAAATGAAGTAGCGGTGACGTCAGAACGCCGAGCCCTGATTGGCTGATCGCGACCCCCTATCTGAGCGTCGTCTGCTCCTTTGCAACGTCGTCTGCTCGCAACGTCGTCTGCGTCTGTCTGACCTTTCCTGCGACTTTCGGAAGTGCAGGTCTTTACGAGCGAGCTCGACTTCGCCTTTCAGAGAGGGCAGACGAAATAACTCGAGCGGTACGTTGTTTTTGTCTAACAACTAGCAGACGCGCATCAAGGAGGGTTGTCAAAGGACTCACTTGCGAGGTGTCCCGGGGCGCCGAGGTTTGTTTGCTAAGAACCGAGACTGAGCGTGTTAGTGTCAAGTGCATCGTCCCGATGCAACCCAAAACAAAACAAAGCACATAAAAAGAACGGCAAACTAAAGAGTCACTTGAAACACATAAGATCCACAGTCCTATCGAGCGTAGTACGGCTTCAGGCGCACGACGTGGACGACTGCAGGTCGTGGTGGGCGGCGTGATGATGTTCTTGTTCCGTCGGGCATCACCTCGTAGTTCAGCTCGCCGAGGCGACGAAGTACCTTGTATGGTCCAAAGTACCGTTTCAGCAGTTTCTCACTGAGGCCGCGGCGACGGATAGGCGTCCACACCCACACCCTGTCTCCGGGCTGGAAGTGAACGTCCCTGCGACGAAGGTTGTAGCGGCCCGCGTCGACGCGTTGCTGGTCTTGAATCATGAGTCGGGCGAGCTGGCGGACTTCTTCGGCGCGTTGAGCAACCGCCTGGGCGTCGTCACTCTCATTGTCAGATGGCTCATGGGGCAGCATTGCGTCCAGCATGGTCGTTACCTTCCGACCATGTACCAGCTGGAAAGGGGTGAATCCAGTGGTCTGCTGAACCGCCGTATTGTAGGCGAACGTGACGTAGGGCAGCACCTCGTCCCACGTCTTGTGCTCTACGTCGACGTACATAGAGATCATATCGGCGATTGTCTTGTTGAGTCGCTCCGTCAGCCCGTTGGTCTGCGGGTGGTAGGCAGTTGTACGACGATGGCTGGTGTGACTGAGTCGGAGGATTTCTTGGGTCAGTTGTGCCATGAACGATGATCCGCGATCTGTAATCAGAACTTCTGGAGCGCCGTGCCGGAGGACGATGGACTCAATGAAAAACTTGGCAACTTCCACAGCAGTCCCCGAAGGAAGAGCTTTTGTTTCGGCGTACCGCGTGAGATAATCTGTGGCGACGATGATCCAGCGGTTCCCCGACGTCGAAGGCGGAAAAGGACCAAGTAGATCCATTCCGATCTGCTGGAAGGGTGCAGTTGGAGGAGAAATAGGTTGCAGGAGTCCGGCCGGCCTCGTCGGAGGTTTCTTGCGTCGCTGGCACTCGTGGCATGATCGTGTGTACAGGTGGACGGTCTTGGGGAGCTTGGGCCAGTAATATTTTTCACGAATACGGGCCAGTGTCCGGCTGTATCCAAGGTGTCCGGACGTCGGGTCGTCGTGACATGCTTGAAAGATCTCCCCTCGAAGGTCGGTCGGTATTACCAGCAGCCACGGCGAGTTGTTGTTCCCGAAGTTCTCTTTGTAGAGTACACCTTGCCGAATGGTGAAGGTCGGCACGGCTCGTGAGAAAACACGGGGTACGGTACCGCCGCGCCCTTCCAGGTGCTCGATTAAGGCTCGCAGCTCCGGATCGTCTCGTTGACGTCGTGCCATGTCATCGGTGTTCACTGCCCCTAGAAAGCACTCGTCATCATCGTCGTCGCTGCTGCCGGAAGGTGTTTCGACAGGGGCCCTGGACAGGCAGTCAGCGTCGCTGTGCTTGTGTCCTGACTTGTAAACCACAGTCATGTTGAACTCTTGTAGCCGGAGGCTCCATCGAGCGAGGCGTCCTGACGGGTCCTTGAGGTTCGCAAGCCAGCAGAGCGAGTGGTGGTCCGTGACTACGCGGAACGGGCTTCCGTACAAGTACGGACGAAACTTCGTGATTGCCCAGACGACCGCAAGGCATTCTTTCTCAGTCGTGGAGTAATTTCTCTCTGCCTTGGACAGTGTCCGACTTGCGTAGGCGATGACTCGTTCGGCGCCTTCTTGTACTTGAACTAGTACCGC